ATGGATGTTGACCTCATTTTTGGTTGAGGTCTAACTTTGTCCTCTTTAGTAGCCTAGGGTCTAGCCATAGGACTTTCCTGTTAACTATTCTTAGAGGACTAGAAAAGGAACCTCACAATTAGAAATTCTACAGTCTTCTTTGCTCAACTTGAAGTTCCACATATTGGTCTTAATCTCTAGCACTTAGTAGGTGGGGTCAATAAGAGGGAGCTCAAGGAGAGTCCCCATAGGATGGTCAAGCCTTAGGACTAACCCTGGGTGGTTTGGTTTTGGTTAGGCTAGCCTGCACACACACCTTATCACAAACCCCAAACCCTAAGACCCCTTTAATTTGGTCTCTTGACTTATTTTGGAAAGCTCATGTGGATGGACCCAAACCCCTAGTCCTTGGCTAAGAGGGTTAGGACTAGCATTTGAACATCCAAAATGAGTTCTCATATGACTCATATTGGTTTGACATGGCTTCATGGCTTACTTGCCCATTCTAGCCCAAAATCACCAAATTACTAAAATACCCCCACAACCCTATTTTTTGCCAAAAATCCCAAAATACTTGAAATACCTAAATTTGTCCAAAAATCATTTTAAATCACTCACCATTACCTAAATTGATCAAAATTCACCAAAATATCCCCACAATTGCCAAAATTACCAAAATGCCCCACATGACACAAAAATTCTAAAAATTTCTAAAAATTCCAAAAACATCCCAAATATTCCAAATTTTAATTTAACCATCACATATCAGAGGACCTCTCCATAAAATTTCAAGTCACCTAGAGTTAATTTGACCACTAAAATGGATTAATCAAGTTAAAATCATTTTTGATATTAAAATAATTATAATAATTAAAATGCAATTCAAAAAACTACCAAATTAGTTTTGGGAGCTCTTTATGACAAGAGTAACCTAAGAAAAATAAAAGTAGAATTAAAATAAATACTTCATTTTTGAGCTATTTTTTAGCATTTAAATAATTAAAAATTAATTAAAAAATCATAAAAATTGAAAAATTTTAAAAATATACTAAAATATCACAATTGGCTTCATAATTACTTCGAACCAATCAAAATAATTTTCCAAATTTTCTAAGTCAAGATATTAGAAATTTTAAAAATATACTAAAATATCACAATTGGCATCATAATTACTTGGAACTAATCAAAATAATTTTTCAAATTTTCTAAGTCAAGATATTAATTTTTAAAGGCTTAAAATGAATTTTCTTTAATTTTCCACTAAAATAATTCTAATAATTAAAATATAAACCAAATAAATGTGAAATTAATTTATTTGGGTTCTCTGAACTTAGAGAGATTTAATAAAAATATAAAACTTAATTTTTCACTTAAATGATATTCTATATTTAATTAATGCTCAAAACAAACAAATAATTTTAATAATTACATTAAACTTCAAAAAATCATGAAAATTGGTCCAAGTGGTCTTCTAACAAGTGAGTCTCCAATAATTTTCTTAAGGACAGAGATTTTGTTTTGTTTGAGTTATTGAATTTTCAATAAAAATTTTGAGTTATTGAATTTTCAATGAAAATTCTTATTTTTGCATTATAAATAATTATAAAATTAAATAAATTCAGAAAAATCACTTTTTTCTCCAATGATATTTTAATTAACCCACGAGTGGGATAATATAAAATTTGCAAGTCATTTGAGTTCAATTTAATGAATTATAGAAGGCCTTAGAAGCAAAAAATGGTAAGTTTGGAATTTAAGGCTTAATTAATATTTAGGCTTAACCAAAGGGCTAAATGGGCAACAAATAATCTTAATTGATATGTTTTGATGATTGAAATATAAAATGGATAAGTGGTAGTAACCAACCTTACTTTGATCTTATTAAAGATAAATTTGTAATTTCTTAAAATAAATGGAATTTGGAAGAATATTTAAATAGAAAAGATATTAAGGTGAAGGCTTTGATTTTGGGAAGATCATAACTCACTGATTTTAAATCCCAATTGATGGTGTATGATTCATGATAATGATTAAGAACATAAACATAAAAAAAAACCTTCTTCCTAAAACTGCAAATCTACCCATTAAGTTCTAAGGGCTTAGTAGTGAGCCATGCTTAACCAAAATTTTGTTTAATGAGGTTTAGAAAATAATCTATAACTAATTTAAAATCTTTTAAAATACTACAAGCCCATCTTTAAAATCAAAGTGCTAAGTTTCTTAATTAGACCAAATTGCTCCTAAGAGTCTTTACCTATATAATTTATAAACAAAACATAAAGTGATAATTACCTCATCCTTAGGGTTGTCTAGAACATCAGCTCTTTGAGCATAATGATATGATAAGGATGAGTTATGAAGCAATATAATGAGTTTGAACGAACTCGGGACTTTTCAAGGGATTGTGAGATGCCCGGGGGGCCGACCCCTGGCCGACCCCTAGACCTTTCATACTCTTTTGGATATCTTGAAGGACGATTAAAACTCATTATGCCTTGCTTAAGAACCATCTATACAATTAAATAAATAGGACTCACTAAGATATGACATAGAATCTCGTAGACATACCTCAGACCTGTACTTTCTATTCTTCCTACCAGCTTATTTTAATTCATGCAAATATATATATATATATATATATATATAATTACTAAAATTTTAAAATAAGTAAAATTATGAAATTTTACCTTTTCTATAGAAAAATCTCAAAGACCAAGGTGGTCAATTGCCAAATGTAGACATATAACTTAGTTTTGTCTCTGTTTTCATGTGCATCATTAGGGATGTAAACGAGTCGAGCTTGAGCGGCTCAGCTCGTGTTTGGCTCGTTTAAAATTGCTCATGTTCAAAATTGGCTCTTGAAATAATATGTTCTTGTTCTTATTTTAAAATTCTAATTTTTGAAATGAAAAAAAAGTTTAAAATAATTTAACAAATAATAATTTATGCATACTATTAGCGATATAAAGCAATATGTCATGTTTTAAATTTATTATAATATTATGGTGAAGTATTATAAATTCCTTTTGATATTGTATGTAAAAAAATGTGTTGCCGTTGATCTTATAGGATTCTAACGGTCTGGATGAAGGAAGTAAGCTGAAGGGAGACCCTTTGTAAGGAGGTCGTAAAGACCCACCAAGCCTACAGAGCCAATAGGTGAACGAAGAATGATTGATCGCGACAAATTGACGCATATGAGGATTGTTCAAATCTTTAACATTTGACCCATAATAGGGGATGCTGATCCCATACAAAAATTTACCCCCACACTATAGACCTAATAAGAGAGTCAAACTCATAAATATCTTCAAATGAAAGCGTCCCACATAGAAGTCAAATTTTCTGGGAGAGATAGATCTTCTAACGATGTCCAACCTAGCAAAGTCAATCGCGACAAAAGATGACTAGAGCATGATTAATTGCCCACAAATCGTTTCAAGCCCTATCCAAAATAAGGGGTAGAAATGTCATTTCATTTTAATATTAAAATTGAATTAATATATAACAAGTTAAATTATTTTTTAATCATAAAGATTGATATTATTCCTTTCTTTTTCATAAATAGTTTGGAGATTTATAGAAAATGTAATAAAAAATATATTTTCTTCCTCGGAAGGAATCATGTGATTCATGTTATCCATTGACCATAATTTTCTAATGGCAATATCGTAAATTATGCAACCCAGATTTCTGGACTCCAGCAGCTCCGCACTTTCTCACTCCACATATATTTTTCTCCCCGGCAAAAACTCATTTACTTTCCGCGCGAAGACCAAATCTCTCCCTAACCCTAAAAGAAACCGACATAGAGGAGAAGGATGCTGAAAGGCGAAAGCTTGGGAGCTAAAGGTCCCTCTTTTTCTTGCGATACCGAAGACGCTGCGCAGGAAAGTAGGGTTTTTTATCCGGCCGGAAGTTCTTAGAGGGATTTGGCGGGAAATTTCCAATGGAGCGGATGGAAGCGGTGAGCGATTCCGTTTCTGTGTTTTGATTGAATTCTCGGTTCAGCTGGTTTGGGGATTTGAGAGTGGTGAGGTGATGAGGAGATTTGGATTGGGTTTTCGCTCTGTTAAGCTTGTTATTTTTGGCGGTTGATTAATCGGAGCAGTGTGGAATGTGAGTTTTAATTTTGTATGTTTTAGGGTTTAGGGTTTTTAATATTTTATAATTTTGTAGAATTTGATTCATGGCTTTAGCTTCGTTTGAATCGGTCATCTGGGAAGGGGTATTTTATTTTTTGTTTGAATTCGGAATTACTTCAATTGTTTATTTTTTATTTTTTATTTTATTTTTTTGCTTGATGGAAGCTATTTACATGCAATAAATTTAGCTGAAGCTTTTTTTTTCTCAAATAATACAAAGCAATCTACGATGATTAATGGTGACTGTATTTATATATTTTTCCTATTGATTTTTAGCTGGAAAATTTCTCACTAATGCTGCAGGATCTGCTGTGGAATAAGAACTCCCTTTCCGACGAGGAGGTTGGTTCGGCGGCTGAGGAGAACATGATTTTTGGCATCAATTTTAATGAAACCGATACTGTTGGGAATGAATCTGCACATTATGAGAAGTTCCTGCTTGATGATTTTGACAATTATGTGGATGAGATTAACGATCGCCTCACGGTTTCGAGATTGGTAACCGACTCAGTCATTAAGGGGATTGTGAATGCTGTAATTGAGGAAAGTACTGAGAAAATTGCTTTAAAGGAAGCTGAGATAGCTTGCTTGAAGGCAAAGTTGCATGCTTCTAATTATGTCAATAGTTTGGCGCCATCAGTGGCGGCATCAGTAAATTTGAACTTGAGTTTTGATAGTATAACGACCAATCATTTGAGCAGAATAAAGATGTCTGTTGAAAATCAGTTTCAGAGGCTTAAGGAGGAGTTTGACTATGTGAGAAATTCAAAATTTTCTTGTTCAACAAATGTTTGTTCTACAAATAAAGTGGTGTTCAAGGTTCCTACTCAAGGAAGAACAGATGAGAAATTGCATGTTCTCAGTAAAAAAATAGAATTTTTTAGAGTAATGTTATTTGGTTATTTTGATGAAATCAATAATTTGTTTAGCTCTATGAAACTTTCAGCAATGGAACAGCAATGGGAGAATGAGTTGCATGAAGAAATTAATGCTATTCTTGTTCAGAATTATGTTAGAGATATTCAGGAAAAGTGTGAAACTAAGATTTTGGAGCAGCGAAAACAGATGAATGCGCTGAGCACGAAGGTTGGTGAACTCTCCTTGGTGCGTGAAGATCTCAATGCTATTTCTAAGTCGTTATTGAACTCGGATCAAAGTCTTCTCTTATCACACAGCAGCAGCGAAAGTTTAGAAGAGCTAAATAATACGAGGTGGAAGGATCAGTTCCATGTTAAGGCTTTGGGAAATAATCACTCATCTTCTGCATCACATAAAGGGGAAAATGGTGCTAATATGATGCAGGAAGCTCAGCATTTTGGGAAACCGATGTTGGAATCTATGGATTTTCACCTAAAGCACTTGTCGAAGGAAGATCTCGCAGATTATTATAAAATTGAAATGACAAAAATGCGGAGGCAACACGACAAAGCGATGGAAGAGAAAACTGATGAGTTGTTCAGGCTGAAAAGGGAATTTCTCAAGGAAAAGGGCTCTTTGTTTTCGAAGAAAGATAAGGAGATTGAAAATTTGAAGAAACATATCCGCCGAATTATCGTAAATCTAGATGATATCCTAGCGGAGGAGTTAGATTTTGTTGTTTGTGATGATTCAAACGAGGTTTGTACTTTGAAGAATAAAATTTCTTCCATGTTTATCGAAAATCAAAGGCTACGAGGTTTACTTATAGGAAAAAGGAAGGAGGCGGAGTATCTATCCTCACAGGTCACAGATTTTGGGTTCCAAATATTACAAAATGCATCAGTAAACCAAAACTTATTGGAACAGATAGCAAATCTGAAGGGGAAGCTTGAAGATTTGAATACAGAAGTTGCTGTTAAAGAAGAAATAGATGCTATAGTATTGAATGAGGTTATTAGTAAGCTTAATCTTCAAATGGAGGATGCTGTAATGGAGAATAGTTTCATTCATGATTTTTACTCAGTTTTTATTAAAGAATCTGTGAGAAATGAAATGTTTATGATAAATGATATTACACTAAAACGACAGGCAGAGAAGGCTTCCCTTGATTCAGTAATTTCACAGAAGGAAACGGCATTACACTCAGAACTTGAAGAGAACGACAAATTGAAGCAGGAAATAATTTCCTTATCTGCATTAATTAGTGAGAATGAAAAAGTTGTGCTCGAAGGTGAGACCTCCATAACACAACGAAGGGAGGAATTTGACACGGTTTACCGAGAGCTCGATGAACTCAGAGATCGAATAAGCATGCAAATGCTCATCATTTCTGAGAACAAGATTCATTCGGATTTCATGAGGAGTCAGTTTGATGATGCTCTACAACAACTTACTGTTTATGAAATGGAGGTTGATAATTTGAATCAGAAGTTAGCTATTGCTTCCAGTTCTTTGGAGGAATCAGAAAGGCAGAAGATTGTTCTCAATGGAATCATTGAAGAAAGGGAAAATAAATCACAATATTCAATTTTGGATGGAACTAAGGAAGAAGTAGAGCAGGTAGAAGTGATGCTGAGCTTATGGAAGAAATTATCAGAAGATTCCTTAGACTTTGAAAGCAAGTTGGCAGAGACTATTAAAATAAATGAATCTAGGTTTGCTTATTACATTCTTCGAGCACTTATCTATCATAGCTCTTTTATGCATTATTTTACCCTGCGTACGATTTTCTGTTATTGGGACAGGTTTTTGTATCCATTTGCAATATATTAAGGGGGCATTCACATACATAGCACACAATTCTCGTGGATTTACATATCTAACACAAACTTTCATATTGACACACAACACTAAAATTTTTAATCTTACATAAAAAAATAACACTATTACCACTTTTTAAAAGTGAAATACACATTTTCATGTATAGGTTTAAAGCACCAAAGTGCTATGTATGTAAATATGAAAGTTTAGATGTGAGGTGTGTAAATACATAAAAATTGTGTGCTATGTACGTAAATTTCCCTATATTAAGATGTTTAATCATGAATAATTTGATTAATAACCAATGCAATAAGAGATTGCTTGTTTTTGAAGTATTTATCTATGATTATTGTTAGAAGTTATATTAAATAATTTATTCATGGGAGAAGTTACGAGGAATAAATTATTTCCTTAGATTATGATTTATTTCATTTCCTTTTTTTATATTTATTTTCTTGGATTATGAGTTATTTCTTTTTCTATTTTATGTTATTTGTCTTTATCTTCAAATAATTAACATGAATTAATTAATTGGAGATGTTAAGTAATATGTCTTTCCTTTCATATTATTTTCTTTTTATTAGATTTCCTATTCTTGGATTCATGTAAGCGCCCCTCTCATATTAATGAAAATAATTCCGCTTTATTTCATATTATTCTGAATTTCAAACATGGCATTAGAGCAAATTTTCTACCCTAGACGTCAGTTTTGCCTATAAATATTCCAAAATTTAAAATAGTTCTTAAAATTCAAATATAATTCAATAAATCACAAAATTTTGTCAAAAGGCTTCTCTAATCTAAGCCTACCTCCAGTAAAAATTTCAACTACAAATTTTATGGGATTAGGATTTTCATTGGTCAAGTTATAGATTTTTCTTTGAAAAATCTT